CTAGATAGGGTTAAGGCAAATGTACCAATGCAAGCTGCACAATACATCCTCATGATAGCTCTGTGTTGTAATACAACATAGTACAGACTGTCAGAATACGGTGTACTTACGAACAACATCTATAGTAAATTCACATGTCTTGGTATTGCCTCCATCATCCTCTGCACGATACTCAACGATGTAGGTACCCCAGTAGAATTCTGTTCCGTTTTCTTTTGTCTGAATTTAAAAAAAAATGAAACATCGTTACAAAAAAATTACAATGTGTATCCATGTTATGATGAGTATAACTAATTTAAGGTCGCAACTAGTTGTAACATATGGACTGGCAATAGGACCTTAAAGAAAATTGGATGTCTTCTCGTTAATAAGTTGGTGCCGACCTACTCCGAACCTTGCATACGTGAAATGACCGTGTAATTTTGCACAGGTACAGTAAATGCATGCAACTGTAAATCACTTAGGTCAAGGCAGCTTAATTTTAACCACATATATGCCATTTATTTCAGTCACAGCTGTTACCTAATATTTATTGCCTTAATACTTTTAAAGAAGAAATGTAGATGAAGAAAAGTTTCTATACAAGTTCCCAAATTAGAAAAAAAGTATATTAAATTTATCTTGATACTGTTAGAACATCCAATTAAAAATTCAGTGCTTGCATTGAATGCAAACTTTGTTATAAAAGCAAAGTTAACGTTATGTTACCTTGAAAATCATTAAGTCATTATCTGCATTATCCACAAATGTTGGCTCTTCCCAATAAACCCTTATCACATGTTGGTCTGCGAAAGCAATGATGTCATCTGGGCAGCTCAACAGCGTTGGTGGTTCGACATCTGTGTTAAGTTGGAAGTGTTATATTTTGATTATATGCATAGAATTATGATTCTATGGTCTATGATTCCGATAAACATTTGCTTTGGTTATAAATTAAACCATTGTTAGTATTTTACAATTTCCATAATCCATGCAAACTTGCTGGTATGTTTTCCAATCTTTTTGCTAAAAAAAAATTCCAATGTTTTAGCTTACATTACTTAATTGACTTGTTGTAGTCATGTAAACACATGCATGTATGCTATAGATGGTCATTAGACACATTAATATTGCAGAAGGAAACTGTCTAGGTCTATCCTACTTTAAATATATGTACCTTTTATTTCTACTACAAAGTAACATGAATGCATAAGGTCTGCTTCATCTATTGCTGTGTAGTTTATGCTGTGTAGTTTATAGTGTGTGTTCCGACTGAGATTCTATGTGGCGGTGTAACCTTTACCGGGTTAAACATTCAAAAACATAGAGTTAGAAACATGTACATACCCCGTATTCTGACTTGAAAATCGCACGAAGATGAAAGCCCTGCCTCGTCAACCGCCGTGTAGTTCAAAGTGTGCCGTCCTATAGTAAACCTATGTGGCGGTGTGACACTGCCGAGGACCACAGGTGTAACTCCCGTGGTGTCTGTAGCAACTGGTGCTGCCCAGGTCACCTCGGCACTGTCCAGACCCGGGTCGTTGTCTGCAGTGATGTCAGCTGGGCAGGTTATGCTTGGAGGTGTTGTATCTGTATTTAAAAAGTATTGTTTAGGGTTAATTATTCCACAACAAGTGAACTGTATCAATGACATCACATATTAAATGAATGAAACTGTTCACTGAAAATGACAAAACAATGAATTAGAGCCCTCTCGTGTCTCCTCAGACTTTTCATATTTATCTGTCATCTACGTTCTGGCATGGCAATGGACATCTTTGTTTTTTAGACATGCTCACAACTGTCACAGAACAACAAGTTTTATTTCTAAAATTAGACGAACATGTCTAATGTCATCCTTAAAATTTACTTGTTGTTGCCTTATGTTTTAACCAAGGAAACAATTCAACTTCACTTTTAAGTTAGTAAACGTAAACACACAGAATATGTGGAACACCTCTCACAGCGCTATAAAGAAGCAAGGTTGGTAGTAATTTGCTTCCGAAAATTCATTTAACCATTCTCTTATATTTAACCAATGAGTCATATGATATACTAAAGTGTCAAGTATCCACCTTCACAATTGAAGCCATCGATCGGTTCTGTCCATGTCCCGTCGCTGCTGCCAGGGATCGAAGAAGCACCACATGTAGTCACTAGAGTCGTCTGTCCGTTGGTACTGCTATATCCAGGTTTGCAGGAGAAAATACAGCTGTCAAGGTAGCTTGTTTTGCTCATGGTACAGTTGCTTGGGTATGCTACCGCATTGGGTAGTGGGTTAAGTCGTGAACAAGTTATGGCTGAAAAATAACAATATTGAATTTGTTATTATACATTAAAACATGTCCATCCAAGTAAGCAGTTCCTTAAATTAAAATAAAGAATTTATCTCGGATAATTTTGACATTATTTTGTTGCACTTCAAAGACAAGAATTGTATATAATGCATGCACATTTGAAATGATTATCATATGCCTTGATTAACGTATCCTCACGTTTATGCGTTGTTATTGTGCCATTTACTCCGCCAGAGTGGACCACCACATTTTCTACAAGGCAGGCGTTGTTCCCTTGATCATCCGTACAAGCTCCTATCATGGCGAATATTGAACCTTGCAGGATTTCAAGGTACTGCTGCTTGATGCTGAGTTGAGTACTTTCGTCATGGCAGTCACCCACGAAATACTGTGCCTCCAGACCTTTGTGAACTTCATTGGGATCCCTTCGTTCTGTAAACAACAGAATCCACGTAGTATGTAAACGCACTTATCGCCTTAGACATTGAATAAATAAATATAGGTCAAATACAAACGTGATACATCTGTTTGAATTTGCTGTTGCTGTAAAATCAGGACCTCTAAACGTTTGTCGGAAAGCAAATGTCCAGTTAATCGTCTGGTCTGTTCCCCTTATGTTTTCCATGTAAAGTACCCCTATAATCAATAAACAGTTCTAGTGGATCTAATTGTAAACTTGTAATACCTAGTCTCAGTCTAACGGGTTTTCTTCTAGGCTCGGTGGAGTTAGCCTTATTTACTTGACTATCTTCTCCCTAAACAGCCCACCTTAACAGCTAGAATTGTCTTTGAGTCAGTTTACTTTCAGAAAGTCAATCAGACACACAACTTTATACATAGCCAGAAAGGATATCCAAGCATCACACATGACACTGCATCAAATCATAAGCTATCAAAATAGACGTCCAGAGTAGACCACAACATTTTCTACAAGGCAGGCGTTGTTCCCATGACCATCCATACACGCCCCAAGCATGCCGAATATTGAACCTTGCTTTTGTTAACCGAGTTCTAACTGATTGTCATACTTACCAGAACAATCTGGCCAAGGGAGTGAGTTACCAAGTGGGAAGGTACTCCAGTCCCCTGATCCACCACAGACATAGAGTTGAGCTGGGCTTGTTGCAAACTCGTACAGATGGTTGCAAAGTACTGTGCAGAATTGCCCATATAGCCAGGTGTCACATGCTGTAGCTCCGTTTACAGGCGGTCGATAGTACTCACACCTACGGGCTAAAGCAGCAAGACAAATACAAATATAGAGTGAAACTAGAAAGGCCAACATTTGCTTCGGAGCAAATGTAATATTTCACTCCATCTCCCTCCCCATACAAAAATAGAAGATTCTGAATAAATCATACTGCAATTATACAAGGACAAGCTTTTTGAATCTCGACAGATATTTACAAAAATGGCACTTGGCCATTATCTCCCTTATTTTTTTACAAAGATACAACGACAAGCACTTTAAATCTCGACAGCTTTACTTTACACTTATCTCAATCTCAAGTTATATATTGCAGGTATCTAAATACTACTAATGACGAAATTGCAACTACTACTAACGGTAGCAAAATTTTCACGGTCTGAGAAACATGGACATGTTCGCGGAACTATATATTCACGGTGGTGACAGTTGCAGGAAAAAGAAAGTCCAGGAATTATTCCCTAACTGTAATGATAAGTTCACGGTACAGAGGTGACAGTGAAACCGTGAACATAGACCTCCCGCTTGCGTTACGTTGCGGTACAGTGAAAAAAAATTGGGAATTACAGTAATAAATTTACAGAGTATGTTTGCTTAGTTTCCAGATGTTTTGTATCATTGTCGTAAACTTAGCTTTAAACTAGAAAGGCCAACATTTGCTTCGGAGCAAATGTAATATTTCACTCCATCTCCCTCCCCATACAAAAATAGAAGATTCTGAATAAATCATACTGCAATTATACAAGGACAAGCTTTTTGAATCTCGACAGATATTTACAAAAATGGCACTTGGCCATTATCTCCCTTATTTTTTTACAAAGATACAACGACAAGCACTTTAAATCTCGACAGCTTTACTTTACACTTATCTCAATCTCAAGTTATATATTGCAGGTATCTAAATACTACTAATGACGAAATTGCAACTACTACTAACGGTAGCAAAATTTTCACGGTCTGAGAAACATGGACATGTTCGCGGAACTATATATTCACGGTGGTGACAGTTGCAGGAAAAAGAAAGTCCAGGAATTATTCCCTAACTGTAATGATAAGTTCACGGTACAGAGGTGACAGTGAAACCGTGAACATAGACCTCCCGCTTGCGTTACGTTGCGGTACAGTAGAAAAAAATTGGGAATTACAGTAATAAATTTACAGAGTATGTTTGCTTAGTTTCCAGATGTTTTGTATGAATGTCGTAAACTTAGTTTTAAATTAACGAAAACCGATGCGCACACAGATGCCATCCATACAATCAAATCAACATGGCCTTAATTATTAACAATCACATAAACTATGAAGCCATACATTGAATAAGCTATACATATAATATGATTATCATAACCTTTATTTTAAAATCATGCCAGTGAGCTAATTGCATGTACAGAGTGAAAGAAAGTAAAGTAAAGTAAAGCAGTAGAATTTCTGTACTAGCTGTGATAGTACTTCATATGATTCGTCCTCATCGTCATCATTCAATGTGGTCTATCTCTTGCTACTAGTGACTGGTAATACCTCTGTAGATTCTTCACACTGGCACAGTGCCGTACTCCTTCTCTCTTGTCAGCTCCATACTTTTGTGACAACATCAAAGTGATTTTAGTTTGTATGTTGGAAAAATACAAAAGACTAACATTCTAAGTTATTGACATTCTTGAGTAGGAACAATCAGTTTTTGAATGTTAAAAGCAAAACAACGAAAAGAAAATAAAAATGTTGAAATTGTTAAAATGCAGAATTGTTCGTTAAAACTGATAAAATTGTTAAAACTGATAAAATTGTTAAAACTGATAAAATTGTTAAAAATGATAAAATTGTTAAAAATGTTAATATCCGATGCACTGGGGTTCGAACTCACAATTTCTGGGATTGCCGCCTTGCGCGTTACCAACCGAGCTAACTCGGTACGATACACATCACTCACTGCATTGTATGTCATATAAAGTAAACAGCATGGCAGTATCGATCGCTTCAAGGCACCAAGACTTTCAAATATTAACTACGGGGTTTCCTTCTTTATCAGGTTTGCTTTTGAACCACCTTGATATTACTTAACTATCAACCCAGCTAGCAGAAGCCGCCGGCTCCTTTGATATTACAGCCGCTCCCTGTCCAATCTTCGAAAACAGTTGGGCATGCAAGCCCTCGACGCTCGCCAGGAAACCGTCTCGCGATGTTCTCAACAACAACAAACGAACGCCTGTCCACTCTACAATTTTGGTGATTCTTCGGAGATCGATAACAGAACCTAGATAATACTAGTTGGTAAAGATTGCGGAAAATTGTTGATACCGTGGCGCGCGCGCCGACGATACACATTACGTACCGCGTAACTTTTTTGTTTACACGCCGGCACAGGTCATTGACCTCCAACTTGCGTTGTTCCAACAGAGAAGAGCAAAATGTCTGGCTCCCGCAGAACGTACCGCACTCTCCCGCTGGACGTACCGCACTCTCCCGCAGAACGTATCGCACTCTCCCGGAGGACGTCCCGCACTCTCCCGAGGGAAGTCCCGCACAGCGTCCTGCACTCTCCCGCAGAACGTCCCTCGAAAATTGATGCGTATTTCGTGGCCTGTGCTGTACCTACCAAAACACTTGAGTTCATATTGTCAACATGGAATGGCTTTGAACAGATGTTAATAGAGTTAATCCAATCAAATCCAACAGCCAATCAGCAAGAAGAATAGATTGGTCTGCGTCAGGTTCATGCTTGCATGCCCATATATGGGCATGCCGCCGAATTCCTTTCTTATTACGTCACGCGCGTACGCCCCCACAGTACTTTCCTATGGGGACCGTTAAAAAAGCAAATAAAACGATTGTAAAAGCTTGTATCAAAAAAAAATTAAAAAGCCTAGGGGTATTTACCCACTCTACCTCTATACGAAATTCCAGGTAATTTCGCCCAAAAATGAAGGAGTTGAATCAATTTAAAGAAGTGGCAGGAGAAGAAGGAGGAGGAGGAGGAGAAGGAGAAGAAACATCAGAAAAAGCAGTATTTCACTCCATACTAGAATGGAGTGAAATAATGACTCGCATCCCTCAGTAATCATGGTTAAAAAATGAACATGGAGTAAATTTATTTCAAATTACAAAGTAATTTACCATGTGTACATCTGCCAAATACACCTAAATGGGGAAAATTAAGAAGGTTAAAAAAATTAGGGAACTCAGGACAGAGAAGTTGGATAAAATGTTGATAAACAGGCGGCTGCAAAAAAGAATTCAGGCTTTGCCAGTACAGTCAGTCAAATATCCGAAACCGCCTTTCTGTATCTGTATCTGTATAGCCGGTATAACCGCCTTTCGGCGTAACACACCAGCTTCGCAGGCACGCGGCGTGGCGGCAGCAAACTTTAGCCTATGGCTGCTTTAGCCTGACCAAAGAAAATCACAAAATTTTTTGAGAACATTTAAATCATAAATTTGCCTATTCAATAACCACAGCTTGAATATGAAAAAAAGTGCTCCATGATACATCAGATTAAGGAAAATGTACCAATGCAAGCTGCACAATACATCCTCATGATAGCTCTGTGTTGTAATACAGCATAGTACAGACTGTCAGAATACGGTGTACTTACGAACAACATCTATAGTAAATTCACATGTCTTGGTATTGCCTCCATTATCTGTTGCACGATACTCAACGATGTAGGTACCCCGGTAGAATTCTGTTCCATTTTCAGCTGTCTGAATTTGAAAAATAAATGAAACATCATAAAAAAGTTACAAAGTGTATCCATGTTATGATGGGTATAAAGCATTTAAGGTGGTAACAAAGTGTAACATATGGACTGGCGATATGACCTGAAAAATCGAATGCCTTCTTGTTCATATGTTGGTGTCGACCTACTCCTAACCTCGCATACGTGAAACGACCGTGTAGTTTTGTACAGGTACAGTAAATGTATGCCACTGTAAAGCACTTAGGTCAAGGCAGCTGAATTTAACCAAATATATGTCATTTATTTCAGTCACAGCTGTTACCTAATGTTTATTGCTTTGATACTTTCAAAGAAGAAATGTAGATGAAGAAAAGCTTCTATACAACTTCCCAAATTAGAAAGAAAAAGTATATTGAATTTATCTTGATACTGTTAGAACATCCAATTAAAAATTTATTGCTTTCATTGAATGCAAACTTTGTTATAAAAGCAAATTTAACGTTATGTTACCTTGAAAATCATTAAGTCATCATCTGCATTATCCACAAATGTTGGCTCTTCCCAATAAACCTTTATTTCACGTTGTTCTGTAGAAACAATGATGTCATCTGGGCAGCTCAACAGCGTTGGTGGTTCGACATCTGTGTTAATTTGGAAGTGGTATATTTTGATTATATGCATAAAATTATAATTCTATGGTCTATGATTCCGATAAACATTTGTTTTGGTTATAAATTAAACCATTGTTAGTATTTTACAATTTTCCATAACCCATGCAAATTTGCTGGTATGTTTTCTAATCTTTTTGTTAAAAGAAAAATTTCAATGTTTTAGCTTACATAGCAAGTTACTAATAATTGACTTGTTGTAGTTATGTTAACACATACATGTATGCTATAGATGGTCATTAGACACATTAATATTGCAGAGAAAACTGTCTAGGTCTATCCTACTACAAATATCTGTACCTTTTATTTCTACTTCAAAGTAACATGAATCCATAAGGTCTGCTTCATCTATTGCTGTGTAGTTTACGATGTGTGTTCCAACTGAGAACCTATGTGGCGGTGTAACACTACTGAGGACCACAGGTGTAACTCCCGTGGTGTCAGTAGCAACTGGTGCTGTCCATGTCACCTCGGCACTGTCCAGACCCGGGTCGTTGTCTGCTGTGATGTCACCTGGGCAGATTATGCTTGGAGGTGTTGTATCTGTGTTTAAAAAGGATTGTTTAAGGTTAATTACTCAACAGCAAGTGGATGGTATCAATTGCATCGAATATTAGAAGAATGAAAATGTTCACTGGAAATGACAAAACAATAAATTAGAGCCCCGTCGTGTCTCCTCAAACTTTTGACATTTATCTGTCACCCACGTTCCGGCATGGCAACGGACAGCTTTGCCTATTTTAGGCATGCACATCAATGTCACAGGGCAACAACTTTCTTTTCTAAAAATGGACAAGATTTTGTTTCTGATGTCATCCATAAAATTTACTTGTTGTGGCCTTATTTTTTTAACCAAGGAAACAATCCTATTTAGTAAACATACATGATATGTAGGATACTTCCTTATATTAAACCAATGAGTCACATGATATACTAAAGTGTCAAGTATCTACCTTCACAGGAGAAGCCATCGATTGGTTCTGTCCACGTCCCGTTGCTGCTGCCAGGGATCGAGGGAGCGCCACATGTAGTCACTAGAGTCGTCTGTCCGTTGGTGCTGCTATATCCAGGTTTGCAGGAGAAAATGCAGCTGTCAAGGTAGCTTGTTTTGCTCATGGTGCAGGTGCTTGGGTTTGCTACCGCATTGGGTAGTGGATTTAGTCGTGCACAGGTTATGGCTGAAAAGTAACAATATTGAATTTGTTATTATAAATTAAAACTAGTCCATCTAAGTACGCATTTCCTGTAGTTATAATAAACAAATAATCTCGGATAATTTTCACATTGTTTTACTGCACTTTAAAGATAAGTATTGTATATAATGCATGCATATTTTGAAGTAATTACCATATGTCATTGCTTTTAATGATTAACGTACCCTCACAAAACGCTTCAGTCCCTGTCCACTGCTTGTCATTTTGGCAGTTTCGGATTAGAGAACCATTCAGGATGTACCCCAAACTACATGCAAACCTGCATTCAGACTGATACCAGTTGGAGGCATTGCAGCTTATTGATCCATGCGCGGGTGCATGCAGCTGACCACACTGTATCCCTGAAAAATATCGTCATTAAGTTTGTGTTCTAAAGGTACATCAGTGTCAGTATTTTTTGACCAGATCATCTCTCTTGACAGATATATGTAATGTGTTTTCATGTCTCTTTGGGATTTCGAGTATTGAAAAAAATATCATGAAAGCAGCCTCTAAGATCTCAACATAATATACTTCCTATTGAGATTAACTTTACAATTTTTCAGAGAAAGTATCAATACTTGGTTAGAATCTGGTCCTCACCGAGAGACACATGAACCTCAGATTAACAACAATAGGAGTTGATTGTAAGAGGTTATTAAATAACACATCAAACATCTTAATAGAATAAACAGCCAAAACAAAGCAAATTTATGTTGTGCAATGGCTAACAGAGGGATACATAGATATATGGGTATATTGGGTTGATTCAACTTATCATAGTCACCCCTCTTGTAAGAACAATGAAAATGATTTTTAAATGTACTTGTCAGAATGTTTTGATTGAAATCACCTTAATCTACTTTGATTTGTAAATGGTATTAATTTGATCAAAGAGTAGTGCCATTGTTTATCTTATCTAAGCTATGGAACTATGTCCCTCTAGCTCTGGATCATGATGAGAACTCCTTGAGCTCAGGAAATAGACATTGCTGCTTTTTTTTTAAATTTGTTGATGATGTATATGTCTCACCTACACCGGGTAATTAAACATGACTACATGTCAAACGATACTACATTTTTTTAGATATCAAAGGCTTTAATTGTATAGAATTAGTGCTGTGTAAACCAGAATGGACAAAAGCTCAGGGCACAATGTAATTAACTCACATATGCGGTAAGTTAGGTTATGTTAAATCCACCTACTTGAGCACCCCACTCTGGTGCCCTCCCAGCGTCCTTGTGGTTGACCTGGATCATGTACACATTGTAGCTGTTGTGTCTGTGGAACATTTGGATCGGATGGCTGGTATCCACTCTCACATGTAAAACTGAACACATCTCCGTACTTAAAGTCCCCATCAGTTGGCTGCATGATCTGATTGAGGTATGGCTGAAGTGGGGTACATTCTACAACTGTAGAAGAAACAAAAAAATTAGTAAATTTGTAATGAAAAGATGCATGAAAAAATTCTGTGCTGATTTTAATTTAAAAATCATATTTACGCTACTACAATTTTTATTCTGATAATTTTTTTTGCTAATTAAAAAATATCATCATGCATTTACAATGTGGGTTGTCAAAATGTACTTAAAATGCTATCTGAATTAAATGATGGAAATCGTGCCATATAGCATGGCAGACAGGTACATTGTAAATGCATATTGTAATATGTAAGACGCATAATGAAAAGAATTTGTGGGCATGAATATTAAGTTCGATAAACAGATTACAAATGCACTGACAAAAACGCATGAATCTTTGGAATATCAATTCTGAATTATATATAAACATGGCAAGGTAGTTTTGTAATTTGATCCATAAAATCTTTGTAGATCTACATGTAACAACACTTTGTAAAGCTTTACCTCTTGCACTCGAACAAAGCAATATTGACTTATAAATAATGTAACTCACCTGTACACTGTCTTGATAGTCCACTAAAACCTGCCTGGCAATGACACCCCCAAGCTGTTTTCCATGTACTTTAAATGTACTTCACTCCTCACATTAGAAATGCAGTTAAGTGCGATGAAAGTACCATCGTTTCATGAATTCATGCCAAATAAAAAAAGATTTCCACTTTTTTCGCAGTTTGTGACATTTCTGAGATGTGTATAACGCAAGGGTTTTTAAATAACGCCTGACCAATTGTATTTCGCGGTTGCAAAATCGTTAAGAGATAATTGATAGATTTCTGGGATGGGGGCTCGCCAACAAACCTTTCTAGTCATGCATCTTTGCAATTAATGAACATCTCACCTCCTCGTATTTGCAGTACAAGACCATTGAAGTCATTGAAGTTATTGTACGGATAAACATGTACACCAGCATATGGAGGTGACGCAATGGACTGTAGTTCGGAGTAATCGTAGCTTCCGATGCCAATGGTGAAGATCTCTACTCCTGTTGCCTTCAGTAGTGTTGCCTGATGATCAGGGTTTTCATTTCCATCCGAGTGACCGTCGGTCAAAAGCACCAATACCTAGGTGTAGGTTGCAAGAGTAAACAACCAGTTACTTTATTTTTAACACGTGTAAAGCTAAGGTCCCAATTACGTCGGTGCCCGTCGGGGATGTAGCCCCGGCTGGCCCCGGCCGGGTTCAGGAGTCGAGCGGACATCGGCTGTCGTGGTCACAATTAAAAGTTTCCTTCAGTAGCATTTCGTTAGAAATTTTGTCACCCTCTTTGGTCGGTATCCGGCAGGTACCCAGCAGATTCTCTGACGATGTCTTGTATTGACCTATACGTAATGCAGAATTCACATATTTGTTGTGATCATTTGATCTGTGAGGTCACACATTTACCCGGGTTTACGAAGTACACACCTTTATTCTATTCATCTGGTCTGTGACGTAAGAAATGTGTCCCGGTGGACTGCCGGCAACCTGAGGGGTACCTCTCGGTGTTCTCACGATGAGGTCACGGCGTCTTTTTGTCAGCGGGGCCCGGGTAGAATTTAACTCAGAATTAAATTCTTATCGGGGCCCCGACGGGCCAAAAAATAGCCCGGTAGCCGCAGGGTGCCCCGCGGGGCCACGTCGGGGTCCCGCCCGAAAATGGTAAAAAAAACAGCCCGGGAACTACCCGCCAGGGCCCCTTTTCCCAATTCTGACCTTAGCTTAACCAAATGCATTACCACGGCGGTCTGTTACTACGGTATTCTTTCCAATTCCAAATAAGGCGTTTAAGTATCGGATTATAAGACGCAATTTTGGCCTCTTTTGGACTAGCCATAACACATTTGAAAATATTAAGGGTAAATTCCGTCAAATGAAATCATCGCCTTTACTTTGTTTTAATGTTATTTGTTTTCGTTGAATTACTGATTTTATTGGGATTCGGGGCGCCGGTGTGAGTTAGTCTTGTTTTTAGGCAAACAACGTTACGCATATCACCCAAAATCCCATATTTTTATATTTTTCGACCATTAGGAATAAAAAAAAATTCTTTAGGATTTTTTTTTCAATTTCTGACTTCAAATAGTTATTGTCGACATATATGTGTTTTTTTGCCGTTCGCAGCCTCAAAGACATTGACACCGCTATGTGCGTTCCTTCCGTCCGTCCTTTCGGGTGATTTTATGATAGCGAGACATTGCTCCATGCAGATTCGATGTTGATGCCAAGCCTATGCAAGGATAAGTGGCAAACAAATCAGGTAAACACGAATGTACTGCTTAGTTTATGTATTGGTTTTAGGTTCCCATCAGCAGGAATGACCGGGCATGTAATGTGCCCTGCAAAGCGTGTTTGTAGAGGTCTGTTCGACTTGTAGTACTGTACCTTCAAGGTAAAGAGGAAAAAAATTAAACATCTTTGTGTTTGTTTTGTGGATATTAGTCACACTTTGTTCCTATTACTGAATACAACACGTTATATAGGTTCCAACCATAGCGGAACTTGCAGAAATATTTTGATAGTCTTTCCTCCCATTAAGGAATTAGGCCACACGTGCACCTTAGCTTCGTGATCACATCGAAATCGGTGAGGTTTTTCTTCGCGTGATTCTTGTAGAGTTTATCAAGTAAGCTATTCAGTGTTTGGTTATATTAAAATAAACATTCTGAGGAACAGTTTGATATGTTGTTTGTTTGGTTTTGTGGTAAAGAGAAGCGTGTGACAGTGCACCGCAAGCATGCAATCGGCGTGGGGTGGGAGGGCGTCGTATGTATAAGATAATCTAATACTCCCAGTCGGAATTTCAGGGAGAGCGCGCCGACTTGACGTACACCCAGCATCACACAAGCACAAGTAACCAAGTGTTAACAGCTTGAGAGACAACTGACTCTAAACTGAACCAAGAGTAAAACTGAGCACATAGAGACCACTTTTAGCGACATAATAGACGTTAAACAAGGACAACAGCAACACGGGATTACCCTAGAACTTACTACAATGTACTAGTACTTTTAACAGTATAATGTCCGTCTTTCATAATAGTAAAATACACTGGCCACCATTTAATCTCTAATTTCGAATGGGAAGATTCCGACCGAGCTCTGCGTACTGAGTAAGTGTTTTTTTTTTCTAGCCCCAAGGTTTAAAAAGCAGGGATGAGGACCCTGGGTCCTGCCCTAAGCAAGTACTCCCCACTGTGGCTTCTCCACATAAACTAATAAACAGCCTAGACGGTCCAGCCACCAAAAGCAATGGCAGAGACAGATTAGCATAATAACTGTCAAACTTTTTGAACAAATTCAAATAATTTTCTGTGCTGGTTTTCAAAGTATCAAACCTTGCAGAATGATCGGGACAGTTGTAACTGAGACACATAATCGAGAAAATACTATCTGCAACATTTAGTTTATGGAAAACCAACCTAGTCAAGTGGTCAAGTTTCAATTTTTCAAACTGCCCTGTCAAAGTTTCATCAATGTGTCTAATTGCAGATATCTAAAATGTCAACCTCACAACTGTTATAACTGTACATGTACAAATGTACATGTAACTGCAGACACTCTATATCACACCACCAGACAAACCTTGGAAAGCTAAGACAGTGTTGTCATTGCATTTGTACTTTACATTCTGATTTAGGTCACTAACTTCTTTTGTACAACTGTACACAAATTCCCTATCTGTTGTTAATATGTTTTAAACCCAAAGTGTCTTCAAGAGTCTCGGTCAGCCCTGTGTCCATGTTACCACCACGGCAGTCAAGGATAGAATGAAGCCTGGTAATTTATGTTAGCTGAATTTATTGGGTGCTTATAGTACAAGCATGGTCTTTAATACAGAATTATTCATAATTTGCTAACCTCACAAAGCCTCAATTGTTTGCGTTCAGAAAAGTTGAACCCTTCTTTACAGCATACTAGTACCACAAATCTGTTTTAGTTACCATTTATAGTACAAAAATATCTCCACCTGGCCTTCACGTTTTCTAAAATTTTAATTCCACTGTTGTATATTGTATATGCTAGGTTAAGATTTTACTGTTACTTATGGTGACAGATTTTTCTCGTTTATTCTTCCAGGACAATTTCAGCCATTCATTACAACAGTGCTCTTTGATAAAGCTCGGTACTCTGCCAGAAATGTTATTTACCGCCAAACTACTTACTCAAAATAAAATCGATTTTTTTTAATATCAGATGTGTTGCATATAAAATCGCACTTTACCTTTTAAAAGCAAAAGAACTGTCAGAACCTCTACAAATCAGACTACACAGTTATATAACCTTACACCTGACCAAACTTTGCCAGAGCTGCCAACGTAGCAGAGTTGGTACTTACAATTGACTTAATTATTAATGAGTACCTAGCTTCGGTTAGAGACACACCTCAAGCACGTTAAAGAACCCCCTGCTTCTCCTATTGGGTCAGTTAGTCCTCACTACTTGTGAGGATGTTTCTGACTCAGGGGGAAGAGTTGCTGTTACAGTTACAGGCTAGCTCTATTCCTAGAAGTGGCCAAATGGCCTTGCATTGAGCGACACCGTTAAAAAAAAATCATAATGTTCCTATTTTTGTCAAGAATGTCTAAAGTAAAGCTAACAAAAGTAACACTATCAGCAACTACCATCAAGGTGATACAGTTATAATGATGCAAGTAGAGGTAGACCTGCGGATGCTGGAAATGCACAGGTAATTCGCCTCGCTGTTTCCTTTTCAAGTTTTTGTGAGCCACGTTTTTACGTGTACAGAGTTGCTGTTTTAGATTTTCGCCATGGGGGGTCCGGTCATTTGCATATGTTGTCATTTTGTTTTTGCATTTGTGTGGGGTTCCTACTACTGATACACATATTGGTATCTTTTACATTTCGGCGACGAGTCTTTTGTTTCTCATGTTGGGTTATATAGGACGTTTTTGTTGCACACTTTTGGTTTATGTTGGTATAATGTTGGACGCTCATGGTGACAGTATTTCGTTCGAGGGCGCACGTGACGCTCGGGGAGCGTTTATTTTGAGATAACTGTTTTAAATCCGCACGCTGGGCGTGGCGCACGTGACGCTCAGGGAGCGTTTATTTTGAGATAACTGTTTTAAATCCGCACGCTGGGCGTGGCGCACGTGACGCTCAGGGAGCGTTTATTTTGAGATAATTGTTTTAAATCCGCACGCTGGGCGTGGCGCACGTGACGCTCAGGGAGAGTTTATTTTGAGATAATTGTTTTAAATCCACACGCTGGGCGTGGCGCACGTGACGCTCAGGGAGCGTTTATTTTGAGATAACTGTTTTAAATCCGCACGCTGGGCGTGGCGCACGTGACGCTCAGGGAGAGTTTATTTTGAGATAACTGTTTTAAATCCGCACGCTGGGCGTGGCGCACGTGACGCTCAGGGAGAGTTTATTTTGAGATAATTGTTTTAAATCCACACGCTGGGCGTGGCGCACGTGACGCTCAGGGAGCGTTTATTTTGAGATAACTGTTTTTAAATCCGCACGCTGGGCGTGGCCGCACGTGACGCTCAGGGAGCGTTATTTTGAGATAACTGTTTTAAATCCGCACGCTGGGCGTGGCGCACGTGACGCTCAGGGAGCGTTTATTTTGAGATAACTGTTTTAAATCCGCACGCTGGGCGTGGCGCACGTGACGCTCAGGGAGCGTTTATTTTGAGATAACTGTTTTAAATCCGCACGCTGGGCGTGGCGCACGTGACGCTCAGGGAGCGTTTATTTTGAGATAATTGTTTTAAATCCGCACGCTGGGCGTGGCGCACGTGACGCTCAGGGAGCGTTTATTTTGAGATAATTGTTTTAAATCCGCACGCTGGGCGTGGCGCACGTGACGCTCAGGGAGCGTTTATTTTGAGATAACTGTTTTAAATCCGCACGCTGGGCGTGGCGCACGTGACGCTCAGGGAGCGTTTATTTTGAGATAACTGTTTTAAATCCGCACGCTGGGCGTGGCGCACGTGACGCTCAGGGAGCGTTTATTTTGAGATAACTGTTTTAAATCCGCACGCTGGGCGTGGCGCACGTGACGCTCAGGGAGCGTTTATTTTGAGATAACTGTTTTAAATCCGCACGCTGGGCGT